ATAATAACTTTGTAGGTATATACAGTTTAATATAATAATATATGTGAAGTAAATGATATAATTTTAGTGGCTAATACTCACAAAATGAAATGAATAACGTGTACCTTGTAGCAAAATGACAGCTAAAAGTCAAGTTATTTTTAAAAATAACTGTTTTAGTTTGGAATAATAAACGATTCAATTACATCAATACAAAGAAACTTTCTTTTTATAAGTCTCTTCTCACACGGAGAAGGTTTGAGCATTAATCACCACGCTTGCTCAATGCAGGTTGACGATTACAAACTTATAATTAGAAATTATAGGCCCAGGTTATCCTCACGATGGTTTCCTTCACCATTTGTCAGTGGTGTCTAGATAATCTTAGAAATTACATATAACTCGGAAAATGTCATATTGGACTTGGTACTTGCCGTTGGTAGTTTCGAACCCCCTGAGGGTGCCCTCATGCATGAGAGGTGGGCGTCTTAAACCTCCGAGCCACCGGACTATAACACGCGACGGTTCACCTGATAGTAAGCAATCGGCGTCGTCCATGGATACCCGGAACACCTGAGGCGTTACACGGATTGGGGAGATTGGTGATGGGAGGGGGGTTTGTTGGGGTAATTGAGCCTTCGTCCTAGAGATAGATTAATATATAATTCATCTGATATAATTCATCTGATTTGAAAATGCAGTAATTCAATTATCACATCATCGATTTGTCAAGTTACCTATTTCTTATATTTATAATCTTACTAACATTAATTAGGTTTTAATTTAGATGCCTATTCTAGCTTTCCTATTATAATTGTTACTACATACAATAAGTGTTGCTTCTTGCTTCCATACGTGATATATTTTATGCTAGGTATGTACTGCATTATGTTACATTCATTAACATTCGCTATAGCAACTATTCCTGAGTGTTTCACAATGTTTCTGATTAACTTACTGTTAATATAACTGATGGTTTAACGTATTTACTATACGTAATATTACGTCAGTCAGGTTACAAAAAGTTAAGTTAATTGTCTACGCCGCGTCATTTGACGAATGCATACAGCCTACAAGTAACAGGCGGATTTGTATGCAGAGTGTCACAGTTTTGATTGTATCTACGCAAGATGCAAGCATTCGTCTAGTAATCGTCAAGCAATCGTCAATTGACGAAAGCGTTTTAATAATGTGTGGTTACGTGGCCAATGGGTTTGTCAAACATTGTGATACAGACCATATTAACAGCTATGTCATGGTTTTTCAAATCCAATTGCGTTTAAGAATATGTGTCTTTGAAGATACTAGAACCAACCACATGATAATAAATATAGGTAGTCTTTGCATCAGTATATTTTATATCATAGTATGTAAAATAATTGTTGATGATAACTAATGTAGCTAATCAAATATTGTACCTACAAATGACATAATTGTTAGTAGCTTTCATAATTATTTTCTGGCTATGATTGATTATAGCAATACTATCGCCTGAATACTGATAGGCTACCCAATATTAAGTTGTACTTATATATCATACCATTATGTCAATTTACAAAGAATTAGTGGTGACAGAACTATACTAAGAGCGTTTCAGAATTCGGGCATATGTTTTAATTGTAATAGAACATTATCAACTAAATAAAGATAAATATAACAAATCTATAATTATTAAAAATGCATTATAATAACCCGTTTAAATAAAATAATCAAAATCTAGATCATCGGTTGACATAAAACATAAATTATATTTTGGAATGATTTCAGAACAATTTCGGAAAAATACACCAACCGAATTTAGAACCTTAATTATGTGGCCCTACAGAATAATATTAAATTCCAAAAATGCAACTTTACAGGGGACACAAAAACACCCTGTGCGTTTTAAATTCGTTTTTGACAAGGTCAAAAACGGTCAAAAAGTTGTGTCATATAAACCGCTACGTAATAAAAATAATAAAATACATTGAGATGTTTTTAAAACCAATTGAATGTTGAAGCATTTTCTTCTTATTATTTTGGTATAATTCATTCATTTTCAACAAAATTGGACATAAACCCTTGTCACTAAGGCCAGAGAATTATGAAATTGCAAATAAATAATGTAATATCAACAAAAATAGTGGATTTCAAATACTTATAAACAATACTATTCTGAACAGTATCATTAACTTAATAATATCTTGTTTCAAACACAATGTTTGAAGACATTCGTTCATCAGAAATTCGCACGACCTTGAATACTGCTGATCTTCCAGGGCAAAGGATTCCATAATTTCTTGCCCACGTTCAAACCTTTTTTCTGGAACAAAAAGTTAATATTAAAATCGCCAACCAGAATGATATAATCGCCTCTTCGCACATGTAATGATTAAGATGACAATAAGCTGATGGATGCAGGAGGTGCGATTGCTCAGCGTGGTAGACTGAAGAAAGTCTTTTGGTGATGATAATAGAGGTTACAATGGAGTAGAAAGAAATGTTTCGAACTATGCGCTTCATGTATACAAATTGGATCATATGCGAAGGAGCTTCGTCAAAGGTTCTATAAAATTAACGTACTTACATCCTTAGTTTTTTTGAATTTAGGGGTCTTCCAAGGTGGAGGATGAGTGTGTTCAGTAAAGGCTCGGAGTACAAACATATCATGGTTCACGTGTAAGAATCCTCTGCATGACCTTGAGCCCATCTGAGTGCAGCTCCATCGAAAGCCGTCCCTCAAGATCTTGTGCTGATAGTAAGTGTAGCCTTCCATCATCAGCAAATTTTTCCCATTCCTTCCTTTCACCAGCAGCACTGAAAACATTGTTTTTGTCAACTGAAATGTTACACCTTGTCGCAGAGTTAATTTGTTATTAAAAAAGGTATTTTATTTTTTCAAGTAGTAGAGGTGAATTTGTTATTCCCAGATAGTAAATGAAAAGTTGCCAAGACCGTGACAATTGGCGTCACTTCGTCATTAGCAAAAAGAGATTTTAGGTTTAAAAACATATTTTAAGCCATAGTGAATGTATGGTAACGTCTACAAAACTGGTTGTGCTTCAATCCTTTTTTTAAACACGAACTATTATGCTAAGGACAATTACTTACCACACCAATGGCCATTTTGGAAAATAATGCCCTAGACCATCTGTCTTTTAGGTAATGTCAGATTCAACTTTAAAGTTCAACTGTTCATATCCGCCGTCACTACTGGACACTGCCAGTATAGTCGACAACACTGTATTGGAGAATTTTTGGCGATAACCATTGTTGATATGGATTTTATGTTTTTATCAGCAGTTGGATTTAGAAGAAGGTTAGGTTAAGTACTGTGGAAAATTGCAGACGGAATGCCAGTACTAAAAGAATATTCTTTTCCAACCGGAGGTGCGGACGACCCTGCGGGTGACCGGGACTCCAGCTCGAAGTAGGAGTAGAAACGGGTGGTTTTAGTCAGTAAGAGTTTGACACTCCCTTTCGTCTAGGAGAAGGGCGTCTTGGAAGGCGGGAGGAGTCATTTGATGATTTTCCCCCTCCAAAAACCTAAACCTGGATATTAGCAAACTATAACACTGGCGCCATCACTTTAGATGACCCCAAAATGGATACATTCTAGATTAGACTTGCAACTTTATTACAAAACAATAAGGATTAAAATTTAACTATTAAGAGATTGACTTAGTGAGATATAAAACCTAGATTTGTAATAATCAGACAACTATAATGATTTGACATTCTTTATTGCATTCACTACGATACAGACATCACAAATAAGTTATTTCTAAAAGAGTAAATACTGATTTAAATACATGTATAATCTGTTCCTTCATACGGCTTCTGCAGTTAGTGCATTTTTTGCGTTAGCTAGGGCGCTAGGGTGATTGTTCGTCCATGACAATTTCGCTCTCGGTTGTTCTACGTACGAGGCACTGATGTTAAGCTACTTAGGTAATCCTAATTAAGACTTATATGATCTGACCAAATATATCTGATTCACAATCGAATAGTTACATTATGCATAAACGCGCACTTTGAAACATCGATTAGTATATTAAACATCCAATACACACTGTATATACTATTATATAATATATATATATATATATCAAAAAATTCAAAAACACAGTCTATATTCTAAAATCATTCAATAAAATGTTCACAAGAGTGAATTAAAATGACTAGAAATCAGTACTAAGTACATAATTATAATAAAATTGTAAAATACGTTCCTAAATATACACAGATATGAGTATTATAATATAGCATAATTACTTATTTTGACGATTACGATATATTGTATAATCGATTATTATTATTAATAATATAATAATTTCAAATTCGTATACTTAATAGTCACTTTAACAACGGATTTTTCAATTAGGTATCACAAATAATTAAGACATTGACCCCTAAGTTATTTGGGATAAGGCATTCTTCCTCCGATTCCTTTCTTACCGACATACCGACTTATCACATACCGATTTCCGTTTTCGAAAAATATCACATGATCTAATCTAGGTACTAATTGAAAATTCCGTTTTAAGGTGGTACACACGGCCACGCTTCAACCTATACAAAACCAGTGTATCCTGGTATCGCGTCGCATCAACTTTCCGCACATATAACGTTCAGTTTATACTGGTTATGTATAGCTCGATGTGTAGCCGTGTGTACATTGATTAATATTAAAAACTACAACATTGAGAGATCATCATGAAAATACTTTTAAATAGATTTGGCTTGTAGCTTAAGTACAATACCAAGTAAAAACTAATACTGACTTGGACGTAAACTGACTAGAATAAGGATCACAGGATCTAAAACTACAAATAAGTTGTTAACTTACACATTATAAATATGTTATATAATATACCCATAATATAATATATAATAGTATCGATCATTCAAATAGAAAGTTAAGGTATTTAAACATAGATATATAGTGTATATCTACTACCAATAGAGTCTAAATATTATTATAGCAAAATTCAATTTCGAAAAAATCTTGTAAGCAGGTCAAAACCACGCAATGACCAGTTTTAACGCGCACGTGTCATTACGGAAACTTTTTTTATATACTCTTTGTAAGCAGCTTTCAAATAGCTGACTGGTATTGCTGACAAGTTTGGTTTCTTCTCTACTTTGGCATACAATCCATCAATTCTACGCAAGTACAATGGAGGAGCATGGTGGTGGACTTCGTTCTTTTTGAGGACGTTTAGACGTTCATCTAGTACCAGATGGGCCTTGCATCCAGTTTGGACGTACTGGTTGCACCTCCATCGATCCCCATGCTTCAACCTGCAGTGGGTACCGTACGTGTATCGATTGTACTTGATCAAGCACTTGCCCCCAACCAGGTTGATGCAGGATACTGGAATACAGACCTTTTCATCAGACGACCATTCATAAATTGAGTAAATTGCTCTACAAGTGCTATAAATCCCGAAGCCGTGAATGAAAATGTATGGTGAATAGCTAAGTGGAGCTCGATTACGTTCCTTACATACGGTAGTAGCATAAATCATATTATATGGAATGTTTCATCTAAGCAAGCTTTAATAAAACTACTTGACACGGAATAAGATAAACAATGCTTGTAGAATGGGTTTATTCGTTTTTCTTTTAACTAAGAAACTATCCTATGTACTAAACTTAAGATTAAATATTAGCACGTAAATAACTAAACAAAATTCAAATCATCAAATCATTTTAAATGCTTAAATGCATCTATAGTGTACAAGGTGGTCTACGATTTTGATAATATAATAATGTATTCTAAGTAAATTCATTTTTTTAACTACAGAACACGTAGTTGTGTATATAGACAATAATATCTAAAAATCATTGACCTATGAGATAATGTAAAAAAATAAGTTTCCGTTAAAAAAAAACTTTTGAACTTATGGAAGCCGTTAAACGATGATGCTATGTTATTTAAGCCAAGGTAAAATACGCATTTCATCAAAATGTTTTTAAAGCATCGGCTACGGTTAATATAGCCAAATACCATCCATCGATGAGCACGGATAATAACAAAAAAGGCAGTCTTTAAATCAGTAACTATAAATGAAATAAGTAAATGCAAAAACAAACAAATAAACACAGTTTTATTATGTAGTCCATAGAGCCTATAGCAAATCGACACAGGAGAACTTTTGTGAAGATTTTTTTAAGATCACTCTTAATTATCATGTGTAGACTGTTAACTACTTAACCGGACAATCTGTGAAGAAATAATGGATTCTTATCCCTTGATAGAATTTTTTTCCAGCACTTTTACTTCCACCAATCGAGGATCGGTAACACATTGGCAATTTGTTCAAATTTCACTGAATAGGACAGGCACATATTCTGTACTATGGACCACGCGAGGGCTAAAAGTCAGGACAGTGAGGATAATCATATGTAAATAAAGAAAAGAAGTCTATGTACCATTTTATCGTACTTCTTTGATGATGATGTGTGGTAATGGTAGACAACAAAAGATAGAAAGATTAAATACCATCATTAATCGATTCATTCATCCTATAATAAACCCCGTTCCTCAACCGATAGTCATCAGGTTCGTGGTTGTGGACACCATGACATCTGACGATTAATCCGTCATTAACAATGACAAAAGCGTAGCATCTTCTTGAAGTCCTCTTCGAGCATCTCCATCTTCTACCCTCTCTAGAGAAGTTAGTGTCCATGGTGTAACTATAGTTCTCAAGCATAAGCAAAGTGGCGCCTTTTTTTGAAGTTACGAACATCGCTGGAAGGATAAATTTTAAAAAAGAAATGTCTAAAGATGGCATTATTATATTCTACAATTCACTTACGAAACTGTTTCATGTATTAGCTCGATTAGTTTCAAGCTATGCCGGGGCCTATACTTATGACCAGAGCTTTGCGCGACAGACGACGCGAGGAATGTAGCACCATCTCAAACAGTTAGGTCAGTGAACCGTAAAATATAATTAATTAAATATGTCTCACCAAGGGTAACTACAGGTACATACTTACTTTTTTTAAACAGAGGAGATTGAAATTGACAGAATTTCAGTGTTTGTCTTTATTTCACCAATAAACAACATTATAGTCATACGATACATAAGTACAAAAGCTACAGACTTACAAAAGAAAAGAAAAATAAAAAAAAATGTAAAAAGATCACACTGGAATGAATACCGTCTTTTGAGTATACTTTGACAGAACTTAATTTAGATATAAAAAAAAAAACAAATAAAAAAATAACAGGCACGTCAAAATTAAGTACCCTTTAACTTTATGAGATGAAAACTACTTTCAGTATAAAGTACCTAAGTATATAAAAAAAATATAATAACAATTCAATTGATTTATGTAAACTTTTTTTAAATAACGATTTGGCACACATGTTCATTGAGAAGGAAAACATTTTATGACTAGTTAAGATAATATTTAGTTTTTCAAGTAAATTACGTACATGGATACAATATGTCTTCTAAATATGTAAGTAATTTAGTATAACTTGATATTATAACTTTATAAAAATCTAAATACAAATAAGTATGTATACGTTATTATAAATTCAAGCTCATATGAGCACACGCATCTAATTTTTCTAACTAGTTACTTTCGCCATCTCTTGTTACATAAACGAGCTAATTACTTGATTGCGTCTAAAGGCCACTAGGTGGCGTATTTACAAAACATCTAATTTGTATAATATTATGTAGATTATAAACGTATATTAGGGATGATGACGGGGAATGAAAAAGAAATGCATTTATTAAGTCATTCAGTCAGAATACAATAAAATAAATTAACTAAAAAAATTAAGTTAAGTTGCATAAAGTGCACGCACATTATACACGCAAGTGACATCATGTGACATTTGAATTTTAAATGCACCAAACGAACAATAAAAAACTGCCATCCTCCCTATTTTAGGATCTCTAAATTAATAAATATTGTAACCTATACTTAAAAAAAATCTATTCACATTGCTACCATAATAAATATAAAACGAAATAGGACACATTATCCTAAAAAATTACAATTCCAATTTTTCCAAATTCAAAAAAACCCCTTCCACACTATTTGAGCCGTTAATACCTATATGGCTGACAAAAATCCAAAATAACAAAAAAACATTGTTACTTTACTGATTGACAAAGTACTATATTTAGATCCTAGTCACTATAACAGTTTTAATTACCTATATAATAATATATCCTTTACCTAATTAAATATGTACGATAAATGCGAAATTATATATTATCTATGCAACTACTGAGGCCAGTAAAAATGGCGCATGTCCTGTTAACGCGGGAAAATTTGCAAGCCTTATTTTATTATCTAGGTACTGTCTGCATTTATAAAGTTTAGACAAAGTTATTTAAGTACTCCATCAATCGAATAAATAGTACAGATCAATTATTTAATCAGTATCCAAAAAGACTAGTAATATTTGAGTTTCAAAACTTAACGAAAATTCACTATAGGCAGATAATATAATTTTTTTTAGAGTATATATATAATATTATACAGTATAACTTTGCTACTCATTAACCACCTGCATCTCAGGACATTGCTAAAATTAAGGGAAATGAGATATATAAAAGTATACAGAATACAGGTGACCAATGCATCAAACAGTCTACAACAGGTGTGATTGCTGGCCAAAGTAGGTAGTCCTCGACATCAATCATTAAAGTTGTACTTGGTGTAGTTATCTTCATGGTTGTGGAAACCTTTATGCTTCAGGTACCTTCCTTCAATGGTCGTCTGCACACAGCTGTTGCATCCAAGTCTCTTCCGATCCCTACAAGTCCAGTTGATGGTGTTTTGATACCGGTTGTTGATCCAATACTTGTTGTCGTTGTATATCAAGACCATACTGCCAGTTCTGTGCGATGGGAGGTAATAAATACCTGAAAAATACCTCAAAACTTATTACCAGTACTAAATTATTGTGTTTATCTAATGCGCTTGGCTAAGTAAATTTTCCTAATTAGCATTAATAAAAAGGAGATTAAAATATGGGGTATATATTTTATTATAAATGAAATATACATGGGTAAATTAAAAACAGTATTAAAATTAGTTCTCCTCTATATTTACATAATATTTCCTACAACAGATTCTAGTAAACAAAATAAAAACGATTGCTTGAGTTTCTTTACATCACTATTTGTTACCACTCATTACATTAATATTGATCGTTCCCATTTACAATTATTGGCAATTCTGTCGGGTATATATTTATCTAAGCTAATCACATACACTGTTATAAGGCGGGTCAATAAAACCAACACACATTTACCAGAATACTGTATTTCCTAATATATTCACAAAGAACTGTTCACCTACAGCTAGCAGGTCCCTACATCAGAAACATGCGTTACAATAACACGTTACAATAAGTACATCACAATTTGTAACTATAATAATAAAAAAATAAAATATAAAAAATATGAGTCAAAAGTAAAGATCACTGTAATTGTGATTGTTTGGTAAAGAAATATTTTTCTCTTATAAATCTACCATCATGACATTGTCGTAAACGAGGTGGATCATGTATATGTCTACCGCGGAATATAGATATATAATCTCTACCATCTACACCTTTATATGTGATGACATCAGCTCGGCAGCCGTGAACATCTCTTGAGGAACAATACCATTGCTTCTTCCCATGTGCTTGGTGATTCTTCATATAAAATGTGAACCCATTGAGGATTAGAAGTCCAGCACCCGTTCTCCCAGGAATGAACTGAGCCGGCACTGTGAGCAAAACCTTTTATATTAGTTATTTACCTTGGACAGGGGGAAATGAAACAACAAGTTTGGTTTAGTACAAGAATTTTAATTCTAAATTTGTCTGCTCTCTTGGGTGGGAATGCCATGACATTCCACTACCAAGAGAACACACAGTATACCTGATAGAAACTTAATTTAGTGATCAAGGAGGATAAGGATGAAGGATAGGTAAATAAGTACACCAACCAAACCGAACGTCTTTATTTCATTATTTCTGTTTTGATTGTTTTATTTTATTCTTTTCTTTTTCTCCTTTATTTATTCAAAAAAATATATAATTTACAATAGTAGCCTTACATGCTAAAGAAATGAAAATAAAAGTACAACAAAAAAAAATTTTTTTTTCATTGTAATAGACATAATTTTTTAATTTATATATTGAAGTTTCGAAACATTAAAAAGTTTTTACGAATTGGCATAATGGTTATTAAAGTAATAATTTTTTGTCAAATAATCAAGTAAATTATAAAAGGATGAAGGAAATCTAAATCACGCAGATTCCTACACTATGGATGCTTGAAAATGGCTTGCTTAGTCTATGCACTATTACCCAAAAAACAGCTCGGAAACAAACAGATAATCAATCAACATTGGAACTGTTTCTTTGGATTAAATTGAAATTCATTACACTTGATTGTCACACAATATTTCTGAGAAAATTGAAATGACCCATGGTTCTATGTTAGAACAAAAAACCATTAACATAAAATAAAGTTTAACTTCACATTGTACCTACTTACTTACCAAAAACATAATGTTAGAATATTTTATAAATATTCTTGGGGATTGAACCCAGTATATGGGAACTGAACCCATTACAACTTTAATGTCAAAACACTACTTACTTAAAAACATGTGCCTTATTTTTACTGTTCAATACAGAATAATTACTAGGATAGGAGCTCAAAACTTCACCATGTTTAGGGATTTGAACCCGAATAAACACAAAAAACCTACATGGGAATTTAACCCATGCTGTGCACATTCTTACATAAACTCATGCCTTTGACGCAATAGGTGGTGTTCCACATTGGGATTTGAACCCATGCAAAAATCATAACTGTGATCCATACTGAAAAAAGTTATGAAACAAGGTCGTAGATACTGAAACAATATGGGGATCTAACCCATGCCAGTTTCCAGTTTAAGTCCTCGATTTTACACAGAGCTTTTAGTTGTAAACAGAGTTGTCATGACTGGGAATTGAACCCCGACAATAACCATTAGAGTTGTTACGGGAATCTAACCCATATCTCTAAATTACACATTTTACCCATGGAGCAATATAATCATAAAAATAAATATGGGAATTTACCCCATACTAAGTCAAATTTATAATACCACTATTGGGATTTGAACCCAAATTATGCATAATCGTTTTTAGGTGGGATTTGAACCCAAACATGTATAACAGGAACGGTCACATGTAAACACACAGACTGTATGAATGGGAATTTAACCCACATTTATTTACAATAAAATATATGGGATTTGAACCCAAAGTTGTAGACATCTGCCACATTTTATGGTAATCAATCTTCTTCGCAACCCCTTATTTGGGGTTTTGAACCCATTCATTGATGGTGAGGAAATTAATAAAAAATAACTAATAAAAATATACTTACTTGATTCTACTTGTTCGTCATTTCATTAGACAAAAATATTTCTTTATAATATTATGAATGGGGTTTGAACCCATTGTCTTTCAACTCGTAACACATGTTTTGTATTACAAAAATTATACTATGTGGGTAGGTATTTAAGTACTTACTTTTATTATTTCTTAAAAAATAGTATTAGAACATTCAAAACAGGACTTGAACCCATTTGAAATATCCTTTATAAAGTTATTATAAATACTGTTCGATATTTAAACCAAGTGTTGTTGTTTATACACTTATCTCCGAGCATTTGTTTGTTGTGATAAAAGGTGGCAAATTGAAGTTTGTTTTGGTAAAATATTTGCTTAAAATATCAAAATAATATATTGTTGGTTTCTAAAGTGACTTTATAGCATATCTACCAGCCATTTTCATGCATACAATGTCCAAATTTAGACTCAGTTATAGGAATCTGCTGTTTTATGTAGAGAACAAACTTTGTTAATTTAGCTTCTGAACTACGTGGATTTTGCAATTCCTTGGAGTTTTCGTTTAGATATCCTTCCATAGAAAATTACTTGCTAACACTCACCGAACCGCAGGCAGGATACAAGATCAGGGACAACATAATAGCGGGAACAAAAACTAACCTCACCATCACACTTCACACAGCGATATTTCGGCACAAACACAACCATTAGCCCTAACATGATACTAAACAGTTGCACAACACTTATTTACACTAAATAGCAACAATCTAAACCGCGTTTTGTAACAATAATACATACAAAACACTAAAAAACAATTTGACATTTTCAAGAGTTAGGATAATCTATCAAAACCGGCCACGGTACGCGTTTGGCACATTATTTTTTATGCCAAATGTTAATTAACGCGGTCGCGATTCACTCGATCTCGATGTAATTTATGAAAATACGCGGAATAACATTGTAAAAACAATAATAGTCACTTGGCATCGAGAGAGTGTTATTTTGACATTTATTCATGAATACCGTCACAGGCGCCACCATTGTCGTATTTGTAGCGTGGTCTTTTGAATGCAATGGACCACATTGGTTTTGTCTCTTTTTTAACGGGCGCCATAGTGCGTGCAAGTGAGATGGCAAGAGTCGCGGTCCATTCCTTTCAACTGTAGAATAGATGCTAAAAACCAGATTTTCCTTTTTTGGTTTGTCGTTTTTAAGCAAAGAATTGAAAGGAACTTGCAAAGTTGCAACAGCAGCAGCAGAATGGACCTAAAATGGCAACCTTGTTATTCAGCTGTTTTATAGCTTTTGTTTGATGCAAACTTATGAAAATTCGTTGCATTATGATTTTTGACTAAAACTTTATTCTTGTATGTTTGCCTAATATCCCAGGTATCTTTTACCGTTGGAGCAGATATGAGATAAATAATGATAATTGTTTCTATGGATTGCCATTTCATACATAATTATAAGTAAGTACTTATTACGTAAAGTTGGATGAAATATCAATTTAAGTGTTTCATAATGAAGATAAGGTAGGATACCGTATGTATTTAATAAAACATAGTTACTTCCAAATAAAAAATGCTTTGGTAGTAAAACTTCCGGCTGATGTTAATGACTCATAACATTATACATCACGCGTCTCTTCACTGCAAGAACTCACTAATGACAAAATCATCATCATCAACAAACTACCTAGTTTAACGTCTTCGACATCGACTCGACGAGGTCTATTCCAGCTGTGAGCTATTCTTTATAAGTGAGGTTTGATAAATCAGTATAAAATTGCATACGATTTTGTTAAATGTTGGGCCCGTTAGATTTTATTTATTTTTTTTCGCTATTCAGGCTGAAATCACAGAAGTATAACATATTTGAGTTAAGCAAAGCAAGTATGTAACTAGAAAATGTACTCTACGGACCTTAAGGCCAGAAATCATATGTCAAAAATTTAAAATCTCGAAGAAGTTGGACCGTGACGCGGGATACTGACCACCTATGATGATCCAAATTTCTTTTTACGGTGACTACCTACAATTTCCCAGACATAGAGCTTTGTACAAAAAATAAACCTTAGCGGCTTTGTTTATGCCTGAGGGCACCCCAAACCCCTTAATTAATGGAGTGTGTATTTATGGCTCACGGTGTCGTTATGGAAATTGACAAAAAAAAGTTTAATCAGAATGAAATTGATATATTTTTGTGAGGAATGTAAATTGAATACTACTAATCTACTCAGAATGTTTAAATAGTTTCAAATATTCAATAATCAGTCACAAATTAAACGATTTTTTTTACTAGAAACTTCACATCAAACGTGCCGTTGATAGGAACGCAGGCTCTTGCCTGCGTTCCTATCAACGGCACGTCACTAACGCCATCTATGTTCAATAGCTAAAACTATTTGCACTACATGTAGTCGTTACCTACTAAAATTTTATAAAAATATAATTAACATATTTCCATGTAAAAGCTTGTTTGAAAA